ATTCTAGGATTTTACCTACACTCAATTATTTGATTGTAATTTTTAGAAAATTTAGTTTTAAAAGCAGAGTGCTATATTGCTTCAGTTTAAAGATGGAAAAAAAATAATCAATCCCTCTGAAAATTTTAACATCAACTGAAAAATATTTTAATACACTTTTCAAGTGTCCCTTGTATTAACATCACATGTTCCGACATTTTTTCGCCAAAGTAAGAAATTAATCTGTTACTTGGCATCTCGCACGCACACGAAGGTTCTATGCAGCATAGTTACTGTAAAACAGAACTAGTTTTCAGCAGATCTCATACAGAACCTATGTATGCGAGAGCGGAAATATCTCTAATATCAGTTACTATTGGTCTAAAGAAAAATGTCCTACTGTCTTAGTGTCGACGATCACAAACCTGGTTATTTATCACAATTTTGATATTGTTATTCTTACTCGGCTTAAAAATAAAGTGGAGTCAAAGTTCACTATTTATTTAATGTTGGGGATTCAAATTAATAATAATATTAATAATAAATAAAAAAATCCTTATCTATAAGTGCCACATTTTCCCCACAAGTTAACACACGAAAAGATAAATAGATTTAGTATTTATATTAAGATTTTCTCCAATTTGGCGGGAGTGCGCTATCGAAAGATATAAAAAAAATAACACTTTCAGATCAAAACCATACCAAAAACGATTTTAAAATTATCAGTTTAAATGGTGTCACAAAAATGCCAGTGACATTGTGAAAAAATTAATTATCAAACTAAAAAGAAATGAAAACATACGGTATGCTAAGTTTAGTATAGAAAACATTTTTTTTTATCACGTTTCGAAATTATTTACAATGTTCGTCAACAGATGATGATACTAACTCTGAGAACTCTCTCTTTTTAAAAATAACCACCATTTCCAGCCAGAAAAGTGTACATTCAGTGAGTAATATTAAGAGGTATCCGTGCAAAAGAATCTGTTTTTAATGCCAGTAATGTAGCAGAAATCCCTGTTCTTTAGTGTTTCAGCTAGTAGTGCCATCTGTTGACGAACATTGTAGCTAACTTGGAAGCTTGAAATAAAAAAAGTTCTCCTTTAAAGCAGAAGGCAGTAAATCTTACATTTTTATGTTCATACAAATATTTTTTCACATTATCCATTATTTTAATCATCAACTAGAAGAAATATTTTTGCATTCTCATTATATACTAGAAATCATATCATATTTTAATTAAATTAAAAATGTTTTGAAATAAAAAGGCAACAATGTGTTTTCAGATCTGTTCCTCTCTTGGATTAAGACGGCCAACTTACAAAATTGTTGGTAATCTTGACCACTTGATAAATCGAGATGTCTCCACTTGGTTTCCCGTCTATGATTTTTCGGCATGGAATGATGCTGACGATCAAAAAGTAAAGTTCTAGATTTGTTTAAAAAACTCCTTGCAAATATCTATAAGTGTTTTTAAAACATCTGATTGCATAAGTGTTCGAATCTTTATCTGAGTTAGTCTTTCAACAAGCGCTCTTTCGCTGCCAAGCTGCACGGGGCTCTTCGCTTTAGCAAAATATTAAACTGAAATATGTATATAATTCAAACTATGAACTAAAAAAAACTTAAAGTTTTTGAAGAATAAATTAACGAATCATTAAATTCGTGTTGCAGGAATGATTATAATTGTAATAATTTTACATATGTCACTTATTTACTTCTAACTTCAGTTGCATATGACACTTAGTGGTTTCCTTGGGCCTAATAAGTGCATATCGCTTATAAAATATCTTATACAATATCCACGGTAACTAAACCACTAACCAAAATCCCAAATTGACTTTTTCTAAAACACACAGAGTACTTCCACATTAACTAAGATTCGATCGTAATGATTCGATCTTTGGTCGACAGAGACACTTCAAATATGCTTATATATTATATATTAGTGTAGATCAGCGATTACTTACCCAAGTCAATATTTTTGATGGTTTTGCATTGATGGACAACTTAATCTTGATGGTAACCGTCAACAGTTCCATCATGAATCATTATATTTTTTGATGGTAACTAACATAAGTACCCCAATGTAGGAATTCCATCTGATTTCCGATGGTTCACAAAAGAATAGAAATTTGTTTTGATGGCTTGTTCGCTTTTAACCATCAGAAATTTCCCTCATAGTCTATAAAAGAAACAAAAAAAAACCAAATGGTTTGGATGGCATATTCCTGTGGAACCAACAAGACTTTCCTTTAAACGTCATGGAAATGTATTATTGTAACATTATGAACAATCATAAATTTCCATAGTATACTAAAAATCAAATGTTTGAACGATCATGAACAGCCATTATCATTTTGTAGGAATTCGGATTGATTTATGATGGCCCAACAAAAAAAATGTTTTTATGGTATTTTCTTGAGGGAGAACTAACAAGAATTTTCATTAAACCATCATGGAGATGAACCGTTGAAACCATCACGGATCATCATGGACTGTTGGTTCATAAGAGTCAAACTTCTCTTGATGGTTAACTATCATAGTCTTCAAGTAGCACTTTCCATCATGAAATGATGGAAGTTTGCTGGCATATCAAAGACCATGAGCGCTGAATGGAAAATGTTGGATGATGGTTACCATCAAATGATGTTGGACCATCATGAATCGCACTTAAACCAAGTATCACACACCATTACTCCTTTCTCTTTTAAGGAAGAGGAAAGTTTTTTAATTGGTTAGAGTAAGAGTGTAAATGTTTCTTTTTAAATTAAAAATTTTGCCCAAGTGGGAAGTTTTCAAATGAACACACTGCATATATTGAATGAAATTTTTCATTTAACTCGGCGAACAAAATTATGAAAGAAAAGTCAATTGATGATAATGATTAAAGTTTACCTAATAATTTCAACTGAAGGAATAATATCACCAAGGAACAAGTTTTTCAGATTTATTTTATACATATATTTGATCGTATTTAATTCTGGTGGATGTTATTTAAATATGAATTTAATTACGCTTCTAAAGCTACAGAATTTTTAATGATATTTTTAGCCCATTTTTTGTTGAGATGTCCAAGCCTAAAAACGTTAAGCATATATAAAATATAAAATATAATATAGATAAAAAGGGTCACGAAAATGTTGTGACAAACTTCCAGGTGGCTAAGAGGATTAGGGCATATCATTAAAATTTCAAAAAATCTAAGCCCAAAAATATCATTACATGTGGCTGGGGGAGTTTCACTATTATAATGTGTTTAAAAGCACACGAAGAAACAGTTCATATTATAGAAGCATATCTAGCGGCATAGGACAACATTTTGGTATTACATCCTCACGTATTTTAATTTTGACGATTTGACTAAATCTCCAGAGGTTTACGTAACCCCCTAATATATATAATGTTTTTAAATTTGTATATTGCGACAAAAGTTTTACTAAAAATTTTATATAAATAAAAGAAAACTGTAGCTTGTAGGGGGAAACCGATTTAAGATTTGAAATGTGCGACACGATTTATGATTCTTTAATAAACCACAGAAAAAAGTTGTTCCTTATTGTATTCAATCCGTGTGACTACTCAACTTCAAGCGGGAAATTTGACTGACAGTAACCAAAGCAAAAATCCTCGCTCGTTAACTATTCTTTCGCGAAACAACTGTTTTGTGACGGTTGTAGTGTATGATTAATTATGATGACAATTTGTCTATAATGTATATTTATTATAAAAAAATACTTATGTGCTCCTCAAATTTGTGGATTTTTAAGATGACTAGTGCATTCAGAGTTCATGGAACAACAATTGGATGGCCAATGCAGAGATCAATCGAGCTTATAGTCAGGGGAGCACATGCAAGAAGTGCACAACCACCAGTTCCTGAAACTTTATCGATCCACACAAAATCAATGAAAGGTCTATATAAACTTTTTATTCAAATCTGCAATAAATTTAAACTTAGGAAGAAATTTTTCTAAGCAAAATTTTTTTATCTCAAATTTTATTCCTGTAATAAGATTATTGGGTTTCTTCTTGTTCGTAGTTTTTATACTAAAATACTGTTTTTGTATGCTAACAGTAGACGGAGGGGAAAATTGTCCCTTTTCAGATAGTTTACTCCTGCAAAACATAAAAGTTTTGATGAATTGTTTACATAATTCATGATTCAAAAATTATGAATTATGATTATAGGCAAAATTATCGTACTGTATGGTAATGACATTTCCGATAAAACAAACAAACTATAACTCTGATATTAAAAAAAAATGTTATCTATAAGCCATTCATTTAGTTATTTTTTGGTTCATATGGTAATGGCTTACCGAAAATTCTGGTTTCCAAAATTATAGTTTTTATTACGAAACACTCGCTTGAAGATACAAAACTTGAAAATAAATTTAACCGAAAAAAAAATTATGACATGCTCTAAGAGTCATGATAAAATTACCAAATTTTACACACATTATAGCATAATTTTTCATGGTTAATTTAACCAAAATCATTACCCGAAATCAAAAGGCTTCCGTAAACATTCCTGTGCTCATTGGTGTCCCCATAGAGCCAGAGACACAGTAACTTTAACCACATGCTGGTAGTTTTGACCATACTTTTTTTCTCGGTGTTATTCAGCGTTAGAAATTTTTAGCAGAGAACTAATGTAATTCTCTAAAATCTAAACATATTTCAATTTTGTAATTTTTTATATTTGATGATTACTTAGAAAAGTGCGTCGGTAAAAGTTATTCAGCTTTTTGATTTTACCATAGAGCCAAAAGCACGGTGAATTTTATTATATTCTATTAGTTTTGAGTATACTTTTTTTCTTCGGATTACTAACTATACAAGGACTAATAATTTATCTTTATGTTTGCTTAATTCTCTCAAACTTCATTTTCAATTTTTTTAATTATAATTTCATTTTTAATTCAAATTAGTGCGCTGATTTATTTTTTAATGTTTTTATATTGTCTAATTCAATATCGTCATTAATTTTTGGTACTTTTTACTTTTAGATTTGAAACATGCACGTACAATATATATAATTACAGATGTTGTATTCGCAAACTACATGAAAATAACGGATCAATTAGGAAATCAGCAAAGTTTATTCACTTCAAATGACGTCACCCCTATTGGCTTCAAATATAGAAAGTACAAAATAAACAGCGATGGATTGTTTTGCGCCGAAGTGTGTATATAAATTATGATTTTTTATTAACACTTAATTAATATTTAATTTTTTAACCAAGTAAGATTTGTTTTTAAATTGTTTTTGCAATCCATAATGACTTAATACTTCCACAATTTTTCACTATTAATCAGAGGGAGAATTTTTAGCTCTTTTTGTTGAAATTGAAAAAAAAATCAGTATTAATCCTTTGGCGCAGAATCTTTCTTAACATATTATTCGCACTTTTTTTGGCATGATTTTTATGACTCATACTTTGAATTCACTTCAATTTTAATTTCGATTTAATTTTTTAACCGAGTGACAAATATTATAATAAATATTTTAAAAATGAAATACAGCATGAAACATCGGTGTGCTTCTTTCAAAAACGGGACACTTCCCACCAATAATTTCTCAAATTTCCACTTATCCACAGTTAATTTTGATTTACAAGAAGCAATTATTCACCATTGAAATTTTTTAAATTTACAAAATCAATTACTGATAAACGGCACACTTTCCAACAAAAATTTCTCAAATTTCCACTTATTCACAAATAATTTTGATTTATAAAAAGCAATTCATTGAAATTTCCTAAATGTACAAAATTAATTATTGATAAACGGTTTAAACAGTATAAAGAAAATATTTTAACTACTTTTTTGGATTTTATTATTTAATACTAATATAATTTCGATAATCTAAAAAATTTATTTATTCAATAAAGATTGGATATTTTTTTATACTCAAAAGTATCAAAATATATTTTTACTTGTAATTAGAGTGTCAAAAAAAATACTCGGTTTTCCATCTTCGACAAAGGGTTGAAAGGAAGCTCGATAGGACCTAGATGCAAAGTATAAATAAGACCGAAAGTACTTCCAATAACTTAAACATACAGATTATATAGATCTCACCATACTTTAATCAATTTTTCTCCTAAAATTCTGAATACATTTTCTTAAACAAAAGTGTGAGATATACTTAAATATACGTTTATAGTGCCATTTATTATTTTATTGAACCATTATCAAATATGCATAAACATATATTTTATTTTAAAATTAGCTTTCGTTATTGCTCCTTACTGTACTTGATCAAATTACGGCATAAAGTACCGGCACTTTGGGAGCATCATCCGCAAAATACATTTTACCATAAAATTCATTTTTTTCCGTAAAATATCATACAATTATTTTTACATTAATATTTATTTAATTCCAGTGATACGGTGATTTTAAGGTAATTATTGCTATAAAATTTACGGTATATAAGAATTTTTTTCCGTGTCATGTTCCGGTAAGCATTCAGGATACCTGTACTTTTTACCGTAATTTGATCCTTGGTTTTTTACAGTGCAGATCGTGGCAATAATTCACATCACATCTACTTTTGAATCACTAGCTGCTTTAATCGTTTTTTACGTTTTCAAAAATTCGTAATTCTTTGTACCGATTCATACACTCTACGATATTATGCTTTTCTTTCTCGGATAATAATACTAACTTCCTTTCAACAAAAATAAAATTCTTGATTATCAAACGAAGCTACACTAGTAGGGACAATGAAAAAATGAATAAAAATACAAAAATTGCAACTTTCAAATTTCTTTAACAAAGAAAATTGATGAAATTCACAAGAAAATTAGAGAAACAAAACTTTGATTTTATGCAGCCTTAACTCTTTTTATAGTATATTGATTGAATATGAAGCATTATATCACTAAAGAAACTATAAGTGCTTTCGTTTTTAATTTTTTTACCTTTGCTTAAACACAAGCAATTTTTAAGAACATTTGCTTAAAAATTGCTTGTGTGCGTAAACTTTTCAATAAATAATATTTTCATTTTATTTCAACTCATTATATTACAATGAAAAAATATTAATATTTTGTTTAGATTTCAACAGAGTTGCAAAATAAGGCTCACTGGCTAAAACCATTTCCCCAAGAATTACCATCAGGAGAGCCAAGATGGGGACTCATCATAAAAATGAACACCCCTGGTCGCAAAATGAAAAGCATTTGGACAATTCCTACAGAATGTGCTCCTAGAAGACCTGTTAATGTTGGTGTTACATTTCAGAGAAGTAAGTCATCCGCATTGTTATTAATATATGCAACTTAATTGTACTTTGAAATGGATAATGAGAAACACGGTAAATAGTGCCTCCTAGCGTCTAAATCATGGTACTACAGCAGAATCCAATTAATCGCAGGCTGTGTGCCAAATCACTGCGTACTGAAATAACCAGTAAGCATTGATTTTTACTACAAAATATAAAAAACAACTTAAAGACACACATGAAAGGTTAGTGCAAGTATGCTGTGTGGAAACAGTGAGTAAAAAATGAGAGTTTTTAAGTAATATGAATGGTTAAGAAATGGAGATTTCACACGTTACATTTCACACTCTCCCATATGTAGGCTCCGCGCAGGCGTCTTGGATTACCAGGGTTGTTTTTCAATTATTGCGACGCATAGAACTCGTGTACGTGATCGCACGTGATACTTTGTGATAGTGCAAAGTCTCTCTAATTGGTTACACCTCTTTGTACGATTATGGTGATTTAAGCGATACCGAAAGAAGTGTTTGGTGACAATTTTCAAAAGCTGTAAAATGAACGTCAAGAAGGTTTATTAGCATATGGCAGCTTTTTTAAACTCAAAATCGCGATATTTATTTGTATCTGTTGAACCCATTATCTTACGAGACTTTTCCTTGAATTTTTAGAACGCATCTTGCATCCTATTTATTTGTTTTTCTTGAACCCATTACTTAATGAGACTTTTACGAATGCATTTTGCGTCATATTTGTTTGTATCTGTTGAACTTATTATTTTATGAAATTTTCCACAGAATTCTTCGAGCGCATCTCGTATATGTATCTTGTACGCATCTTATCTTTGCATATAAATTTAAATATGAGTAGAATATATTCCACCTTACTAAAGTAAAATATTTCAATTCTAGTTGGTAATTTAGTTCGAATGGACAGTCATGAAGCTATTAACGAGGATCGTATAATCATCGGCAACAATGAAATATTTGAAGATGACGACGGAATGCACATCATAAACCACAGAAGAGCAATTGACCAGGAGAACATCCTTAGGAGGGCTCATTCATTGAATGATCTTCGAGACATATAATAAAAGAAAGATTGCTTATTTCTATGTGTGTCTTTTAAAATGTGGTGGCATGTAATGCTACAAAAATTAATGTACCACCAAAAAAATATTTTGATAGTGACAAACATAAAGATTTTTTTTCAACATAAATTTTAATTCTTTTAGTTATTGAATAAATGATAGTTTGACATAAAAAAAAATTTTTTCGAAAAATTTATCTAAAGGAAGATTTTTAATTGTTGCCACACTGAGAAAAAATTCTGGTCAAAACTATCAGAATATAGCAAAACTTACAGTGTTTCTGCAATGCCTCCTAGAAAAAAAGAAAAAGGCCTCAGCACGGGTTACTATACACAAGAAATTTGATTCTTTAGTAGTCCAAACGTAAATACACCTTTCGTATTGACCACCACTGCGCAGCTTAGTAGTCCGAACGCAGTTCTTATTTTTCTTCCACTGCTCAATTTATATTCGTTACGACGGACTACTAATTGAATATGCGCTGAGGCCTTCTTTTTTCTGGGAGGTGTTGGTTTCTGATTTCGTGGGAACACCATAGAACTTGGAAATCTTTACCGATACGTTTTGTAAATGATTGTTATTTCTTTCGGTAAAATTAAAAAAAAGAAAATATGATTTCATAATGTGCAATGAAATTTCGTAAGCGTGGTAAAGTTTAGTAATTTTATCATCATGTCTTAAAACATGGCATAAAATTCATTTATTTGGTTATGTTCACTTTTCAGTTTTGTATTTTTTACTTTACTTGTAATTTTACCTTTTTCTGTACTGATAATAAGAACTATAATTTTAGAAACCAGAATTTTCGGGAAATCGATGGAATATGAAAGAAAAAATTACCATATGAATTGTTTAAATACCGTTTTTTTTAATTCAATTTACCGGAAATACAGTTTTATTTACCAAAATAGTCATTGCAATACAGTGCAGTAATTTTACTGTAATTTGTTTTCTCCATGCAGAAAGTTTCAGAAAATACTTACATTTTACGTTTTAAAGTTTATATCATCGAATCATTTCTAGAGCATATAGGAATTATAATAAGTTTTAGGATGATTAAAGCTATTTCTTTTTTTATCGTATGAGTGATATCGTGTCTGTAAAAGATTGAATGAATTGAACGAAGAACAATATTATATTTAACAACATTAAAAATCTATCTCGTTGTAAAAAGAAAAAACGGCTGTCAGTATCATTAATTTTGTTCTCAAGCATGCAAAAACAGCATAAATCCCTCTCTTGGTATACTATTATTATTTTTTCATTAAATATTTTTTCTTTTATACCTTTATACCTAACGTTTTAATTTGATCCAATAAATTCAATTTAATTTGATTTGAGTAGCAATTAAATACTTGTATGATTTTTAGGGAGCAACATTTGGTAAACGTGGAAAAATTAGGTAATTACATCATGATACTTTAGAGCAGGGCATAAAAACCATTTATTAGATTAATATTGCTTTTCAGTTGTGGATTAGATTAATATTGCTTTTCAGTTGTGGATTAGATTAATATTGCTTTCTGAATGTGTGGTAATGAGAACTTCAAATTTGAAAACCCGAATTTTATGTAAACCGTTACCATATGAACAGTTAAAATATCAAATGAATGATATATATAAATATATATAGTATGAAAACAGAATAAAATATCTTGATTTAATAAAAATTATATGTGTATAATATAGACAAAAAACAATAATGTAAGTTATCTTTTATGATCTAAGTTCATGGTCGGACTGGGAGTTAGGGGCACGGGGGGGGGGCACTCGAATTTGAAGCCCCTTGAAAGAAGGAAATATCTTTATTTTTTAGGAAATGCTAAAAAGGCGTTATTGATTTCGCTTAGTAGCTTGGTTAGAAAAATTTAAAAGCAATTTTAACCATTCTTTAATGAGCGAAATATTTTATATTAAATTTTAAAGCACCCACTATTTAGTCGACGCAGTTTATTTCAGAATTTAGTGTAAAAAAAAAAGGTCGTGGTTTTGTTAGACCTTAATTTAATTATTATCAATGAAATATATGAGATGAAACTAGTTTGTTCAGTTTCCAAATTTTTTTTTATTTTTTCACTACACGAGACTGTCGAAACAGTTTCAAACTACCATTAAAATAGTATAACCCAAAAAATTTCTAACTGCGTGTAGTCTTTACTCAATCAATATTTAAATTTTTCATAAATTTTTTACTGAGTAGGCATTTCAACTTCTTATGCCTCTATCACACGAGAGAAAAATATGTGCAACTGCGAGTGTAACTGCAAGTGTAAGTGAAACTCTAAGCGCAATTCCTCCGTTCGGAGTTGCCGAAAGGGTTGCTTAATTGCCTGAACGGTTGCATGTAATTGGGTTACCATATTTTGTTATTTATCTTTACTTTTGGCTCATATTTTATTTTATCATATTTTATTATATCATAGTTTCTGAACGATGTTCGTAAAGGGAGGAAAAAGAAATCACAGACGCTGTAGAATATTGATTGATTTTGATTTAATTTTTTACATTTGTATTTGTGTTAAGTCTTTTTTTCAGCAGCAAATTAAAATTCAAAAAAACTTTATTTCCCCAATAGTGAAGTAGCATAGTATAAAAAGGATTATGATTTCTACGTCATAATATGAGATGATATTAAGATATCATGGAATTTCATGCTGCGTCCCTGAAAGGATAAGGGGGTGAAAGGGAGATGGACTTAAATACATGCTGCGTCTCTAAAAGGATAAGGGGGTGAAAGGGGGATGGACTTAAATACTATCTAGAATTTTGACAATTTTTTTTCATCTTGATTTGAGTGACTAAGGTATAAAACATGGTGCGTAGCGTTTTTAAAAAGTGCTTAAAGGTGCTTATTTTTGATTTTCATTTTTTAAAGGCCCTTAAAGGTGCTTTTCTTAATAAGTGTTTTTAAAAAGTGCCTTATTTTCCTTTTTCGAAAAAGAGATTTATGAAAAGGAATGTCGATTTTCGCCACATATTATGTAAAAACGTACTTTTCACATTTTTCTATTTCACGTTTTCAGAATTCATTCGTCCCGCACTGGACTGATCGTTAAGACACGGTTCCCAGCAGATCACCGAAGTCAAGCATC